TGCTGTTTATTACCTGGCAACTACTTAGTTTCCACAGGTTCTCTTTATTCTTTAATTCCATTTGTATCAATGAGCCAGTAATGGCAGATTGTTGTTTTGACTGAACCTTTTAACTTGTCACTATTTAAATTTGGCTCATGGCATTTGATCATGTCAAGGTTAATTATACTTTTTTTTTTATTCTCAAATAAACTGTTAGTGTATAAAACAAGTGAATACATTAAAAATCAGTGAAGTGAAGTGCTGATTCTCACTGGGGTCATCAGCAGCACTCGCCTCCTTTTATACAACCAGACTTCATGTAATACGGAGCATAGGTTTGGCTTCAGACATAGATCGAAGAGATTATTCAGGAAAAAAGGAATATTTGAAGAAAATGTGATAGTCTAACCTACTTAAAATCCAACATTGGATGTTTCATTGTTGTTCATGTGTAGCATCTTTTTAGAAGAATACCGACTGTGACAAATATAAATTACTTGAAAAACATTCAGAAGAGTTTGCAATATTTTTTGAGCAGTGAGTACTTCCTCCACCTCCTGTATCAGAAGACTGTAAAACTGGATCCTGCATGTCCTAAAATGGCAACCTTCAGTATATCAAACCTACAGCAGGGTTATTTTCTCAGATTAATAAAACTCCTCCACAGCCACAGATGTAATTAAACAACAATTTTCACAGATGGTGTAAGATCTTGATGTGTAAAACCGGTGAACATTTAAACATATGTTGATGATGATGCTGTCACCATAAGCTGTAACAAATTATGATGGGCATTTTACCATCTTCTGATGGCCAAATGATTAATCCATAATAAAAATAATCATCTGCTGCAGCACCAAGCCACACCCTCAGTAAACTCATTCCCAGTCAGTACAGCAGCCTCCCAGTCTGAGACTTATTCCAGAAGATCCTGTCACAAGAAAAAAGGTAGTTACAAATGACATGTGATGTGATGAGGAAGGTTACAGCTGTGCTGACATGTACTGTGGGACAGATGACAGTGAAAGCTACAATCAGGAAAGCGATGCACTGACCTCGTCTGACTCCTCTCCCACTGTGCAAGGCCCCCTGTCGCCATCCTGCTCTGTCACCGCTGAACCCTGATCCTCCATCCGGCTCAGCAGTGAGTATCTGTATGCCGCCTCACTGAAATGAAGTGACAGGGAAGGGTGATGTGTTTTGTACTGCACTGAGAATTTAAAATACCCTTATTAAAGTTCATTAATAAAGTTCTCTTACTTGACTGGGAAGCAGTATTTTCGGATGATCAATACAGCAGCAGCTACTGCTGCCGCTAAGACAAAGACCACAGATGCAATAATCCCAGGGTGAAGCCTTAACGTGGCCTAAAATGACAAATGAATCCAATAAGAGCTAACAGTGGGGTAGTTAAAGAGCCCATAAACCTAACACCCCAGTTCATGATGCGTGGCTCAGATAATAAGGAAATATGAGAAGGAGATATGACAACTGAGCAGTGGCGTGTCATGGATTAGAATGCTATACATTTAAAAAGCTTAACTGCAGGGGTGCAAATCTCTGGCCAACCGGGAAAGCTTATGCATTTGTGACAACAAATTATCATTCACATGAGACTTTTTGATCACTAGCCTATACCTGTAGTCAGTCAGAGCTATGCTAAGATCATAGATAATGTTAGCGTGTGAGAAGGCTTTGTAGTGATAATTAGGATTCACATTGAGTGTGGACAAAAAGTAACAATCAAACAGGAACAGTTGTTCACACAAGTGAGGAAGTGTCAGATATGAAAAAGAATGAAACAGTGGTGAGGCATGACTGTAGTGACACAGGTTTATCACTGCACTGGTGGCCTAGTCACATTCATGTGCCTTTGCATATCATTTGAAAGCATAAGAAACATAATGTTAGAGTCAAAATCAGACCAAATATAATCATTAATGTATAAATGAGGGGAAAAAACTGGAATTGGGGAGGTGTGAACAAGCAGATGGGGAGGTCTGAACATGCAGAGTCACCAGTATTTATTTATTGCCTCATCATATTTCCTCTTTACTGATGATGTGTTACATTACAGTGGGTTCTGCAGTTGAAAGGTAGTTGTCAGTGTTAGATCATGTCTAAATGTACTGTTTGCTACAAATTTTTCATGCAGTCTGAACGGAGATATCATGAATGGACAAACACACTCAAATCCACAGTCGACTAGTACATTACTTCTTTGTGAATTTATATTTTACTCCACTCATTTCTCATCGTAATGATCCTAAAAGTGAAGGAAGTTTGGTAGGAAATATATTTGCAAAATATAAAGCATTGTTCAATAAAAATCTGATGGCGCAAAGTGCTTAAATGTTTTAACTTTATTTTATTCTCACTTAATTAACTGTTGTGCCTGTACCGACGAGTGCACTACATGATGTCAACCTCTATTTGATACGAAAATCATTTTCATCCGGTAACTAAAGCGGTAACTACCGTGACAGACGTAGTTACCATGCCACTATCATGATAAGCGTTTGGATTTCCTTACGTTCAGGATTTTATCACGACAAATCGAACAGCTTTACTGTATTTACCTGTGGTGCTGACATCCTGGTGAACTTAAGAGCCTGGTTAGTCTGCTTTCATTGGGCAGCTGAAGAGCTTAGCACATACTGTTTTAATAAAGTGGAGCCCCGAATTACTGGGAAGAAATTCAAAATAATTAAGAAATATTTTCTGTATCACAATAACTGCGCAAGGCCAGACGTCATAGTTGTTTACTTCCTTGTTACTCTCACCTGTTGCAATATTCAGCATTTCCACGCCCACTTCTAGGACACGTCAGGTGGTATTACGTTGAGTGTCACGTGGTCTTCCAACAAGGCATTCAAAACAGTCTTCAGCTTTGTATGTTTCTGATGCACATTACATTCTTAAAGTGCGATACCACTTGCAAGTGGCGACATAGGATTGATTGTTTTAAAAAAGAAAACAATCCCAATGATCGATCCCTTTGGCAAAGGTTGAAGTATGAAACAGTTATTACATACAAGAATGTGAAAATTATGACAATTGCTTAGATAATAAGCATAGTTTTCAGCGTCTTTTTCAAGGCATAGGCCACTGTGGCATCATGTCTAGGACCAGTTTTGTTAGTATATAAAATGTATTAAAACGGTTTGTGTTTGGACTGTTGATTTCAAGGCGCTTCTTTGGCCAGACATGGCTATTACTGTAACTGGTAAACACACATTATAGGGCAGAGTATGTTAGTTACTACTAACATACAGTAGTTACAGTAGCATTGTAACTACTAGCTGTTGTTCAATACTATATTTATAACTGGAAAAATTAAAAATTATCAAGACATATATGTCACTTGAGGTTTTGATGAAATTCCCCTCTCTGACACTGGCTGGGTGAACTGCACAGCCAGTTACCGATCCAACTGAGGTACTGTTTGATTAAAATTAAAATGCAGATAATAATGTGATAACTACATTAACTGGTGGACAGATCTGTACTTGCCTGTATTTAATAGCCCAAAGAGCAAAAGGGTTAAAGAAGATGGTTGCTTTTGAATGCATTTGAAATGCTGAATACAATTGGCCTTATATGTTGTATTCACTGTGACCATGATTTTTTTTTTTTTTTTATGTCCTGTAAATGTAACCAGCAGTACCAACAGACGGGGAGCTCATGGTGCTGGCAGGTCTTTTTGGCGCTTTTGCCAAATCACTGATCACACCTGATGAGTGGCTAATACAAGACTGATTCACCATTTACAGCCTGAGATGAGTTTATGCTTCACAATAAAAGGACAAAAGAAAACAAAAGATGACAGAATAAACTTAATTACATCAAAGTCCAGCTAAACACAAAAAGTCTAACCCACTGCTGTTTAAATTTTATTAAAACAATATGTACACATATCAATATCTTTAATGGACCGTTTCAGAAAAACTATTATAAATAAAGAACAAAATGGACTACAACAGCAAGAAGAAGTAAGTGAGCCATTTGGAATCACCTGGTTTTCTACATGAATTGGTCATAAAATGTGATCTGATCTTCATTTAAGTCACAAATGCAGTGAAACAAAATGTGATATGGTGTTAAAAGGAATCACATACCAACATGAAAACATCATCCCCAGAGTAAAATATGATGAAGGGAGCACCATGACCTTTGCTGCATCTGGGCCTGTACAGCTTGCCATCATGGAGGGGAAAATGGAGAGATGGCTGTCCTGTGGAAGTGTTGCATTGAAGTGCATGCTATTGTGCAGGTGTACCTAATAAAGTGGCCAGTGAGGGTGTATGAAAGCAAAGATTCTGTCCCTGTATCTTCTTCTCCTGCCAGATATGTACTCCATTACAAAACTGACAGTGACAAAACAATTTAAATACATAAATATTCACTCAGTAGTCCGCAAATATCACTGACCAGTGTTTGTGCATGGAAGAAAGAAAGAGTCTGGTCTTGTAACCAGCAGCAGTTATATAGCATAATTTGAATTTCCTAAACACCAGCTGCAGATCACCCCTGGCTGCATTCTGTAAGTAGGCTACAGATGGTGTGTCCTGACACACGCCAACACAGTGTGTCCATATTCATATCTATAGCTGCATACTGAGAACTAGTTTATTTATCTTATTTAAAAAATAATCTTCATTATACTCAATAAATTATTCAGAGTGAATTCCAGCAGATCAATTGTGGCTTTAAGGGTTAATTTTAAGGTGGTTACCTGATCTTGTGCTTCCCAGCCTATGTGCTCATCAGGAAAATTGGAAATACACCTGCAATAGCAATAAGGGGACAGTGATGCACCTGAGGAAAAATGCCTAACAAATGCAAATGAGGCGAGGCAGAAATTGCGCTGGCAGTAAAATAGAGCCCTTTTTGTTTCTCTATACTTGTGACTTAGATGAAGATCAAATCACATTTTATGACCAAATTATGTAGAAAACCAGGTGATTCCAAATGGTTCACTTACTTTTTCTTGCTACTGTACAGTATATTGTAATACTAACCCAAGTTTAGAAATCTTATAAAAATAAGCTCCAGGATGTTCTTTCAAAAAGCTTACATATTAATTTGATAGCCAAGAGTCATGAAAAGCCTCATTTTACCATCAGATGTGCTACTGAATGGGCAACAACTCCACTCCTCGCAAAAACCTTGTATCTGATTTATCGAGTCCCGCTCGCGTACACACTAACATGACACCACTTATGGTGACACAAAGCTCCTGACAGTGTCTCGAAAACAAATGCAGCAACATAAAAATGTTGTTCTGAATGGGATGCTCATCACTCATCAATAAAGCTAGACCTAAAAAAATTCTGAAGGCATTCATCCACGATCAATAACTTGTGATTTATTAATTTGAATTCACTTGAAGCTTTGACTCAAGCTAGTTCATAGTACTTCCCCGTCTTTGGATCGAAGTAGCAGTTCAGGCAAGGATCATAGAGTAAATTCAAATAGTCATCCTCATTCTCCTCTTCATTCACAGACTCATCCTCTCCTGTAAAAATGCCAAAAAGAAAAAAAAACATTCAGCATGACTTTCAAGCAACTATTCCAATCCTACATACAGTACAGTATGTAACAGTGCAACAGTAATTCAATTATTTGGAATTTGCATAGGAAAAAACATAAATGTATATTATATGTTCAATGTACAGTAGCACAGCCATGGCAGATATGAAAGAAGGACCTATTCTGTCAGCTGTTACTGGAATAAAATGAGACACATGGATTGTGAGGTGACCTTCAGACTCAGGTGGATTTAAAAGTTCTCTGCCACTGCCATTCTTTCTCTCATCAATCAAGACTGAAGACAGACCCAGACCCAGTACCACATTATGAAGCTGTAAAGAGATTCCTTGTAATCCCCGCTACTTTAAAGCATGAGAATTTAGCTGTTAAATTGACAGGCAGTTAAATGCTAAAAAGGTTATGGAATGCTTCAGGAGGAACATTTCATCTTATCAGAACTCGGGCGACGATAATGAAAACTAATTATAAGACACATTGTGTAAGAGGTTTAAAAATTATGTTGTAAACGAAAAGGTTTCATCAATTAACCTTGTCGACATGTCTAGGGGGTACAGACCTGTAATGAGCCTGTCTCTTTTGACCTGTGGAGTTATGTGGAGGACAGAGAGCTCGACTCTCCTGGGTTTTTCCCTTAATTAGATAGAGTTTCACATGCTTTCCCACCATGCTATGTGAGGTCTGCGGCGGCAACGTAACACCCGACACCAGTGAATGTTTCTATTAGTTGTACACATTTGTGCACTTAGTGTGGTTAATGTTAACTCATTGGACTGTTTGCCACCTCCCTGACTTCAAAGGACATAAAAGGCTATCTGGAGGCAAAAAGAGACTCAAATGAAGGCTACTGTACCTTGAACTAGATTTTCCCGATTGTCCCATGTGTTGCCTGACCTTCTCTGCTGGCTGGGAGGCAAGATAGGAGGGCTGAGGACGTCCATCCACTCCCTAGGGAAAAGACCATTAAGGCACACAGTCATGACAACACATCATTACAGTCACCATTCTACTACTGTACCCAGCATATCAGATTGTCTATATGACACTTTAACAATGAAATCCCATGACTGTGTGCTCTCAGAAGCCCATCTAAGCTCTCATTGTCCTTGAGCCACTTCTCCTGCACACCCTCTCAGCCACAGTTTTACCTGAAGGAATATTTATTAGAGTCACACTCAAGCTGTGACTCCCAAGTGTCCACATTCTGGCCCAGAGTAGAGGTCTTAACCTCGCCCGTGTCTGGGAGAGCAGGACTTCCCTCCTCTCTAATTGAGTTTATTCATGCTGTCGAGATGCACTGAGGCTACAAATATACATCAGTCATTTCCAGGATATTAATTACATGTTTCCTTTAGTATGGAGTAAAAATGCCACAAGATGAAGTACATGGAAGCACTGCAAGATTCATTTGCTAAACAGAATTCATACTCATTTAAGACTATACATCAGTTGTGCAATTATCCTTTTACATCTTTTGCCTCTGGACATAACATCTCAAAAGAGCTCAGCACAGCATATTTAATAAGGAACTATCATCTTCTTCTGCACAATATTCAACTGATAGCAGGCAATTCAAGTGTTCATCTCGCCATCAAGAATGGCAATGATGGCAGTCACTCTCTCTGAAAACACACTCCATTCGCCGCCACACTACAGGATGTGCACTAAGCACATGCACTATTGACAAAATCTTGCCATGTTAGTGCCACATTCAGCTGGTGACATTAAAAAGATTTAGATTTCTAGCATCTTCTCTAATTAACTTTACTGTTGTAGACTTAATAGGTTGTTGGTTTTAATGGGTGCCAATTAATGTTCCTTGTCAATTTACAGTAAATACTATAATAACATAGGTACCATTAGTGATGTAGTATCAGAAATTAACTGCACGAGCAAAGCAAAAATTAAAGACAGTCTGACCTTAAAAGACTGTTTGACAGTATGGTAAATAAACAATATCATAATAGATTTATGAAACAGCATGGCAAGATTCACAGCTTTCAACTGAATAACAGCTGAGATACGCCTACATGCTGTACATGTCAAAGCACTATTTTTACCATAGTTTAAAAAAAAAATTAAAAAGCAATGCAAACTTTAACACTTACAAACGGGCCAATTAATTTTCATCACATCTTTTTATGCATTTAGGCATGAGTTAAGAATATCTTCTAACCTTATGCCTTTAAAATGATCTAGTGCATTATCTCTGTTAAGGCTGTGATTTCGCTAACAAAGGCAGTCACCCCCCACCTCCACCACCTCCACCTCCCTTCCCTTCCCCTAACACCCCATTGACTGTGTGATAGGCAGGGACATAGCACAAAAGTTAATGGAAGTAATTTTCAAGGACAAGGGCTTCTGCTATAGAGCTGCAAATTAGACTTCAAATTGCTAAGTGGGACTTAGTAAAAGTGATTAAATTCTTAGATTTTCAACTCATTATAATCCAGATATGGAAGAACCTGTGATAAAGGGAATAAATGAGTTTGATTTAGTTTGAGCAATTTGAGTAGCTTCTGCACAGCCATGAAGTATATTGAAATTAAGCTTTCCAAATATCTACCAATGAAACAGTATAGGTTTGTTTTACTCCTTGGCAACTGAGCTGAAGTTCACAATAGTCTTTATGGTAAAACAACTGAACTGCTACTCAAGGTCTCTGAGAGCCTTATTCATGGTTTCATTTGGTATGCCAGCCAAAGGCAGACACAAGCATCACATGTTAAAAATGTTATGAAAGGCTTGGCAACATCAAGCACAGCATCAGTGGCATTTTAGCTGTCAAGAAAACTGCGAGAAAGCCTTGCAGTAGTGCCAGGATACTCAAAAACCACCAAGATATAATTCACTGTATGGCATTTCAGAATGCAATTCCTAAAAGTAAAGAAAGAAAACAACGACAAATCCTGTGCAGCTGCTCTTCAATATGTAAATCAAGGCTTGCTTCGAAGTCTAATTTCAGAAGTACAGCTGCGGATGCTGCAGAGCTGTCAGACAAGCCGGGGAGTGTGTGTGAGGTGTCTGTCAATAGCAATATTCATTTCAGTGGACATTCAATCAAACAGCCCAACCCAGCTGACTACTTAAAAATCCCATAGACATGTTAACACTAAACTCTAACCCAAAAAAGCAAAAATTGGTTTTGCTTATTCAAATACATGGGTCTCTACATATGTTCACACCAGGCTACGTTGCTTTTCATCAATAAATCAAAGTGTTACAGAGGAGGTGGTTGCATAATTTGAGCAGTGGAACATTGATGCAATCCCTTTGTTTTCTTTTGTAACACACCACATGGTTGTGTACACCCGCAAAGAGACGAATATGTGCAGAGACACTGTTCTGCGTTAGTGTGCAGTGGAGTTGTGTGGGGTGTGCGCCCTCCGAGGAGAACTGGATTTTTCCGTACACTGCCATGGTCAGGTCTTAATATGGATATATAGTCATGATACAGCGTTAGACAGTGCCCAAAATGCAGTCAGAGAGACTGGACTATATACAGCACTGTGCTCACAGTGTTGATCTGCGATACTGTATTATTAAAGATAATACTGAAGATATTTCAGGAGAGAGTATCTTTTACCTTGTCTCCTAAATCAACATATTACAGCTGCCTCAAGTAAGTAAGAACTCTGAGCTATTTTCCCTCTCAGGAACACTAAAAAAACTGATTGGAGTTAAATGTCAGTGAGGGATGCGCTGAACATATTTTTTATTTCATCTTTCCTTGACTCCTATGAAGCCCACCAAACTCCTATTCTTTTATTGGTACATAACAATCGGTGATATTGTCAAAGAATGTTTTTGGATGTAGTGCTGTAACCTACTTTTTGAATGTTCCCACTTTCTCTCACTTTACTCAACTTCTACTTCATTTGGTGGCTTCCTACATTTTCTGTTGCATAATGTGTGTGTTCTTCTTAGCTTTGAATGTTGAAGTGTGCCTGAAGTCGACTTTGGACACGCTTTCACAAATATCGAAAAGAGAAGCTGTAAATTATTTAGCCTCCTCCAGTAACATAACCTCATTCATCAATGTGTTATTTTCTTTTCGAGGTTAGAAATTTAGTTTTACTCTGATTTAACCTGCAGGCAGGCAAAACAAGGCGGAACATGTCTTGTAGCTGTGTTGTATTACGAATACTGAGGCTTCCTCTGTGCAGACACTGGTGTTTGCCTCATCAGTGATGACTTTCTCCCTGTATGGCTGTCAGTGCTAAATGGTAAGTCTAACCCTCACTTTTTGATTTTAAAAAAAATCCTGAACCAAGACATTGATGTCTAACATTAATTATCTATTGCCAGGATAAAAAGTGCCATAACATTTTGCTAGTGAGGAATCTGACTACAATAAGTGAAAAATAATTAGCATGTGTGAACATAACAGCAGTTAAGGGAGAAAAAACTACAGTCTGGCACTCTCAGTTTATTTGTCCTCATCTATGAGTAGGATAAGCCCCAGTCTGTACAGACTGATGGCTGACATTTAGCCTTAATACTGCAGTCATGAGTTACCATCTGATTATGAATTTTAAGGCATGTTTTATGTACATCTGCCAAATAGAAATACAGTTAAAGACATTTTTGTTAAGCAAAACATCCATACAACAATGTGGCTTGCAATTGTAATTTTAAGAACAATACAGAAGAATGTGCGAAACATAAAATGTAGTTTTTTTCCTACTCTCTGACTTCAACTTTGTCTTGTTTGTGATGTCAATTTTATGATAAATTTACAACTGGAACTTAGTAAACTGTCTGTGACACATGCTTGCTTACCTGGGGTTTGAGTGTAGGAGAGGGTTCATTTCATTCTGATAGTGGTGCCCCTGATTAGCTGGCTGAAACTGTAATCGGGGTAAAAAAACAAAAGATCTTGTTAAACGGGGCAGCACGGTGGCACAGTGGTTAGCGCCGTTGCCTCACAGCGAGAAGGTTCCGGGTTCGGGCCCCACCTGGGACCTTTCTGTGTGGAGTTTGCATGTTCTCCCCGTGCTTGCGTGGGTTCTCTCCGGGTGCTCCGGCTTCCTCCCACTGACCAAAGACATGCAGCTTAGGTTGATTGGTGTCTCTAAATTGCCCATAGGAGTGCGTGCGTGTATGTGTGGTTGTTCGTCTATGTGTTAGCCCTGCGATGGATTGGCGACCTGTCCAGGGTGTACCCCGCCTTCGCCCGATTGCCGGCCGGGATTGGCTCCGGCCCCACCCGTGACCCCGTTCAGGGACTAAGCGGTAGAAAATGAATGAATGAATGAATGAATCTTGTTAAAACGTCACCAAATAACTCATAACTAAAGTACTTGCAAAATGTTTCAGAAATGTATTATTATATTGTTATTTCCATTCAATGTATACCTCTATTAGGGCAAAAAAAAAATGAGATGCACACTCACAGGACATCAAGAGGATGATGTTTCTGGGTTCAGAATGACTTGTGTCATTCACACAAGGCCAGTAATACAGTTTGTTGTGTTCACCACCATCAGACTACCATTAAAGGTTGACTGCTTGACATATTATGGTTGTCTCCCATCGGAATCAGTGTATTTTTTGGCAGATAAAGAATCGCAGGGCATTTTGTCACATGAACAGATGAAGTGTGGTAAAGGCAGCTGCATCTGCTACAGTGTACTTGCATTTTATTACCACTGCATAACATGCCACATCCTTAAAACTGGTACACAGATGCATATGAAAATGTACATTCTGTTTCTATTTATTTAACAACCAAGACCAAGGATCTGTAAAAATCTGTCCAGAGATTTTGATGTACTGTAACCATGGTAGGGAAAAAAGATAAGAGCTGTGTTTTTGATTGAGGGCTTTTAACACTAATAGCTACACTGTTTCTTAATCGTGAGTATAGGAGACTTCTAACTGACATAGAAAGGTAGAAGATAACAATGGTTTCTCTTTCTGTATTATAATATTCAGCTGCATGAAACCCAGGTGCATTACCCTCTCTATCTTGTCAAATATAAATACCATATTATGGCCTCAGGAGGCTATTTAAGTCTAGTGCCTGTTTAAAGCCCATAATGCTGCATGACTTTGATGAAGAAGCAGCCATGTTGAAGCTATAGTCCTCGCATAGCTTAAGTAAATTTTATTTATCTGTGTGCTCCAGTGGCTTCTTTATGTAATCCTCTCTAAAAATAACACCGGACCTAAAATTGTACCCTGTGGAATTCTGCAGGTAATATGTACTGATGATGATGAGTTACCTGTGGGGTGATGGAGAAAATTCTTTTAGGGAGGTAGGAGTTGAACCATCTCTGTACTCTATTTGTAATATTAGACCCAGTGCCTCACATGGTCATTTAAACTTGCATGAACCATACTTTCAAATGGAATGCTTAGGTCTAAAAGCATTAGGAGCACATCTGCTACTAACATAAGTACAGCACTTACAGCAGCGCTGACCGCCTGTAGCTGCAGGCAGTCTGATAACTTGCCTGAAACAGTATCTGTTGTACAGCTTTACAAAAGCAACCCAGGATAGGTGTTTGCTGAGAGGTTGCTATGCGCCGGGTATGGTTAAGTCTGGCTTCTCAACTCTGCACACTGGATCAAATTGTCACAGTTCGACATTGCCTCCTGGCTTTTTGCCTGCCCTCTGTCATGGAGACATAAAGCTCAGCAGAAATCTTTGGCTCAAAACATTTGCACTGCAGAGCATTTCTGAACTGCACTCACCTGTTTGGCAAAGATGTTCAGCCAAACAGTGCTGCTGCCAGATATGTCTTTTTAACATCCATCTTACTGCCTTATTTACCAAGGCAGTTTCCAGGTGATGGCTGGTGGATCAGCTCCACTCCACTGGCTGTTTTCCTACGTTTTCATCTGTGTATGCCATATGTGTATGCAATTCCTATTGTTTACCCCGACTGCACAACTGCCCCAGCAGTCTTACATTAGTTAGTCTCAGACCTTTCACTACTTTCCTCCAAATATTATTTCATTTTCTAACACTGGTATCTTCCTTTGAGTTTAAGAAATATTTTCTCTCAGTTTTGCACACCTAAGTAAAATAAGCTTGCTTTCAGAAATGGATTTTATACATTTGTAATCAAGTGAAACCGCACTAGAATGTTTTTGCCTATCTTTAGTTCTGAAGAACAGAGGAATCATGTCACCATCTTTCAGTTTCAAGGTGAATGGCAGCTTCTGGAATTACCTTCAAAGTTTTTAATACTCTATTTAGCTCTCCGCACCGCCATCTTATTGATAAGAATGATATGGTGGTAACTTAAAAAAATTATCCTACCGTTACAACCATTTGATAGCTTACAGTCAATAATACACAATTAAATGTGCCATAGAATGGGAGAGCATTCATATGGAAGCTCAGTATATGGGTTAAATGATGTTTATCCATTATTTAGCCCCAAAGAGGGGGTGTCAGGCCATGCCATCATAAATCTTAAGAGCCCCACGATAAGCAACACCATTTTCCAGACCTAATCGACCCTGAACAAAGCATCCCTGAACCCCATCATCACCCAAGTAAAGAGCAGATATGTAGCTTGACACACAGCATCTGCATTGTATTTGCTCAGGTTTAGCAGTGGCTGGTCCAACTGGCTTGTAATGGCAGTCACCTCTGAGAGCCGGGTCTGCTCAGTTGTCCAACCACTGACACTGTTCTACCAAGATTGTCTAACATTCCAGTGAGTCTGTAGTTATATTATCACTAACACCAATACAAGTTCTGTGTGGGAGTAAAGGCAAATCTACAGTGTCATCAGGTGGGCACCCTCTCACTAACTGGTGTTTTGTTGAATTGGGCGACACGACACTGAGAAGGCTCAACAGTGTTCCAGTGTCTCATTTCCTCTGGAGTACTTTCTGACACTGTGAAGTAATCAACAATCACTGTTCAATCCAAAAGAGAATGAGTAAACTATACTATAAAATATTTTTTTGTGTTTTCTACCTTGTATTGCTCATTACCATCTGTAGCTGTATTCAGTGATTGTGCTTCAACATGTTAAAAAAAAAAAAACATGATCCCTGATATGACAGTCCTTACTACAGATGTGCCCCCAGAGAAAATATGTAATTTAGGACCACATACCTGAAATCTGTTTTCACAACATCATACAATATACAATTTGGTCAATTTTGTGTTCAACCAGTAACTGAAGTACAGAATATAATGGCCTGGGAATGAAGTCACATCTGGGCTGACAGCAGTAGTTGCATCATTGTAACTGACAACAATGAGGACCACTCGAATCGCAGGATCCGGGCTTGAAATGACAGAAAATTCAGTAACTATTCTGTTCGTAGGTCCTATAATGACCTCTTGTTTCTTGGACAGATATTTACAAGTTGATTTTTTTACAATGTGAACATAACTATATTTGTCTTTCAAAACTGTGTGTTATAGTCAATATTTTTCCTTTCTCTTTCTCTATCTATATTGGCATTTTCTTATTATGCTGTTGGTGGTGCTGTTGTCATATGCATTTAGAAATGTAAAGCATGGCAACTGATTGAAAAAACATAATTTCAGGGTCTGATCAATCCCATCCCTGTGCAAAACTATTCAGGTTCTACTCCAGGGTCTGAAAATATATGCTTTTATTGGTGACCACATCACTGTGTCCTCAAAAAAGAAGCCATGAAATGATGATCCCTATGGTAATACCACTATTCATTGTCTTATACTGGAATCTCAATATATTAACACATACCTGCATGTACAAAAATGGTAACAGACCCAGGCCTATATCTCGAGCATCTGCAAAAACTATATTCACTTGAGATCTTACAGCGGACCCAGTAGAGCCAGTCAGGGCAGTGTTCTCTCTTCATATATTCAATGTGCTTATGCTAATAGACCATAGATCTAAATGACCTCCGGCAGCCAAGAGCACACTATACTATCTTTGAATTCCAAAGACTTCTGGGTATGAGTTCAAATGACCTAAATTATTTTTAGTCAGTGGCAGAACTGTGAATATTATGCCAGTGTGTTTTTAAAATCTGTAAGAGGCCGATTAATATGTTTCCATCTCCATAATCTTTTATCATGCAGAAAACACACAGGAGAAACTTCATGGTGGCATAAGTTGGGTGCTTGAAATGGAAAGTAGCAAGGGTGAGGATCAGCTGGGGTCACAAAAATTATTCAAGGTGGGAGATAGGAGAGTGACAACCTAGGAATGATTGTAATTCATAGATCACCTGCATGTGTGTTGCTTATTAATGAAAAATCAACAATAAAAGATAAGTATTTGCAGAGTATGACAGTACAGACCATGGAGATATGGGTCCAAGTTGAGGTGTCATCACTGCTCATGCTGATGCTGACATTACACTGGTGGATCTGAGATGCACTGAGGCCTGCGGCTCTACACTCATCTTCCTCTTGCTCTCTTCTGAGACTCGCCAGCATTTGGAGCTCCTCATCATCATCCCTATGCATCCGTAGACTGCCAAGTAGGTGCAAGTCAGAGTGACTGCAATCGAAAGACTTCAGTGTCTCATCTTCATCCTTTAAAATTATCACCATAAAATTAAATAGTACTTAATTTATTTGTGCATTGCACTTACAGTCACACATACGCACTCAATCCACAAAGTTAATACAATGTTTTGTGTAGTGTAAATCTTAAAATAACAGACACCAACCCCAAAAAGGGCTCAAGGCAGTGCTGGACATAAGCCATTTTTTGCCCATATGTGGAAACATTTTCTAACAATGGATCTATTGATTTAGGAGAGTACTATGCTAACTTGATTTGTCTGAGTGCAAGCAACCTTGGTGTTACCCTGCTGCTGAATCAATGGCAGTCAACAAACCGGGACTGCAGGGAGGGGAAACAAACGCCTTGTCATATTTTTTTGACAACCTTTCAGTCAAAGCCTTCACTGCACGCTGCCTGCTGAAGTTGGCACAAATCAGCAGTCAGGAGCTGCACTGATGAAGGATGCTGGGATATGTCTCAGCAGTAAGTTGTGTAAATGTAGGAAGTAATAGCCCAGTGACAGATCTCCCCTCAGGCCTTGTGATCGCTTCAGTTGACTATCCTCTGATTCGACATCTTTTTTTAACCGGAGCAGGGACCTACCTCAATTTGTAACACGTAATTGTCAAATCCTTGCCACCGAGGCATTACATACCTTTTTGCCAGTTTCACCATTAGCTGACCATATTAACACTGATCACACATTAGTATGGTCAAAGAGAGACAGCTAAACAGAATGCCATCAGAGCTTTTAATAAGTTACACTAGGCCTCAGAAACCTACTCTGCACATCCCAACTAAATTCTAACTGTAAATCACAAGAACTGAGCCAAACCCATCTACTCAAGACCCTGAACAAGAATGTTAAAACAAAATTTAATCAAGCTAATGTTCACTAGCCATGTTGCATCAGTCAATTCTGGCGTAAGACAAAATTAAAACATTCAGTCTCTCTCTCTCTCTTTTAAATAAATTTTGTTATGGTCTCCACCAACAAATATATCTGGATCTTTGGTTGAGGCTGATGTCTGTCTAAAATAGTGTACAGTGGGTTTATCAAAGCTTTCTGATGAAAATGGTTGTCTGCAGGGATTGTGGAGAATGGCTCAGATTCAGCCACAAAATTGGCCATAAAATGAAAACAATTTCTTTAAAGAATTTTAAAAGCTCCAGAGTTGGCTACAGCTCTGAGCTGCAAAGTTAATGACATTTTCTTATTAATGACTTTTTCATATTATACAAAAATGCAAACTAAAAATTGTACTGTATATTGTTTCATTGGTAAATAAAACATATTTATAACACTAGTGCAATATTTTTCACATAAACACGCTTAAGTAAAACATTTTAATATATTTTCTAGCATTTGTTCTTTTCCCCAATTATGTAATTCTTACAATTAAAATGTTAAAAAGTATTCAAGTTGGCTTTTGGATGGATAAGTGTGACATCTGTGTAATAAATAATAAGCACATTGCAAGCTAATAAATAATGAACAATGAAGCATGTTGCAAGTTGTTGATGGCCAATCAACAACTATTCAATTAATTGTGAGGTGGAACCTCAAAATAATAGTCTTTTATATATATGCTTGCTTCTGTTTCACCAAAAAACATATACAGCTATATTGCTCTGGATGAGGGATGATGGCCATTAAATTTGTAAGCAATACCTTGTGCTGTGGGAAGTCATCTAGTCTGACTTCTTGCAGGAGTCTCCTAGAAAGTGATACACTGCCGTTCCCAACCAAATCCTGGTTCACTGAGTTTGATCTATGAGGTGCACACTGGTGTTCCTGTTTGCTGGATGTCGCACTCGGTGAGAGGCAGCGTGTGGGGACCATCCCAGCCTGTTGAGTTCTCTCATTGGCTAAAGACTGCACATCTGTGGTATCTTGACCGGAATCTTCCGGTAATGTCTGGTCCGTGTTATGAAATTCAACATGGTCTTCAAGATGCGCATTTAAAGTTGGATCAGGAGTTCTGGGAGTGGCAGGGTTGGACTCAACACTATTTTTGTAATGCTGGAAGGTGATGTAGCTCTTATCCTGAAAAAAATACAAACACTAAGTAAATAAAGATTCCCTTAAAATGACTCTATAAAAAGGGTTATTAGTCATGACCTACGAATAGGATACTGTAAGGTAGACATTTTCTAATATTTTCAGTGTTCACTGCAATATTCTTTAATGTTGTCTTCTGCCCTTTAGACTGAAGTGTGCTTAATGAAACATGATAATGAGATTGCAGACAGGCACCGCGACTGACGAGGTGTTGGTGGCTCAGCTTTAAATTAACCTCGTGTCTAAAAAGGCCAGTGACATTTTCCTTTAGTCTGCTAATCTTTACCACCTTCAGATTCAAAGTTAACACACAGTAATGTAGTTCAAAATTTGTCTCCAGGTTACAGTACATAACACACTGCACATGAAGGAATACGCCACTGAAAACCAAAGTTTTGAATTAGACTTCAAATATATGTGACTGAAAAGTTTTGTCACATACTCCTTTTACTGAGGAAAGCAGATGGATTTACAACAGCGGATTCCAATTATGACACAGTTTCACAGCGGAGAAAAACGTATCAAAACACAGAAACTTTTCAAAAACCTCATGCAGCAAAAACCAATTCTGTCACTCAGCGTACGCACAAATCAAATGACCATCCCACATAAATTTAAGCAAGTGTAGATGTAACCAGCTAGCGACAAACTGGCTAGGCTGTGTATGCCATACATACAGTACTGTATGTGTGGACAGAGCAGAAGTGATTATGCTCAAGATGCGACAAAGTTTCTGTGGATGTTTTGATATTTTTTTCTTTCACCATGTGAAACTGGGTCACAGCAAGAACCCACTGTGACTGTTGTGAATCAAAGCTGACTACAGCAGCCATCGTCCACCAAAGAGAAAGCTGCACTTATCAAGTCTACACAAGTGTTTCAAATTTAAACTATATGTTTGAGGTGAAGTAATATTTTTATTGTTAATATTTTTAAACATCTAAACAGGTACTTTAAAAACTGAAATTAAACCAATATTAATACTTCATTATATCTTACCTTGCCAATTACATATCAAATTTGATTTATACTGGGAGAGACAAACTCTGCATTCCACTGAAGTGAGGTGTTCGAATCCTCACACCCAGACTGCCAGCATATAGTGCAGTACATTCATAATAAAGATGTTTTTTCTTGACTCTAAGAGTGTGAAGCTTCCCTTACTGCTAAAGGACCTTGTCTCTCTCTATTTCTTCTCTTTGCTGCCTCTTTTTGCAGTGTTTTCTTCATTTCTGAGCTTTGTTTTGGGGTGAAACGTTATCATAAGCCCTTTGAGGATTTTATCTCACCTGCTCCATATGTTATTTGTTTTCTCTTTTTTTTCTATGCTTTATCAAGTGCAAGTCAATAAAGAATGAACTATATGTATTATTGAAAGGCCTTACCGGTGTGACTGTGAGCGTGTGGGTTTGCAGAATGTGTGTATAAATGTGTGCGTCAGCCTGTGCTTATGTTGTTTGACTATTATTTTAGTATGCGTTGAAGTGTTCTGTATTAATGTACAGTTATTAAAACATTAACATAACTGCATTTCCCGGAAAGCATGACACATTTGTCCACTGTATCTAAAGTGTTTCACAACAGTTGATATGCTCAACGTGCATTGCTTTGTTTGCTTTAATATTTCTGTTTAAGAACAAGCATTAGCTCAGAAAACCTGCATGAACACTGATGCAACACCTAGAAAGATGATATTGCTCCAAGCTAAGAAATGTGCAGCATAAAATCTAAATCAGGCAGGCCAATCAGTGCCAGATGATTGGCCTGATTTAGATGACCACAATACAATAACAACCACAGGCTGGTTTTTCACTATAGCCAGGGTGGCTGAATAGGCTTTGTTAACAACCTAGGGCTTATAGCTGTTAAAGTTTAGGAACTGTCATAAATCAGACATACATCTATTTGAGCGTTTACTATCCCTACTAGTGACAATGTGGGGTTCTACGAGGATGGTCTGTTTAAACCACTTTGTTCAAGCTAAGTGTGAGCAGAGGTACAGCCACTAGTGGAGCTTTTGGACACTCAGGTTTGCATTGTGTTTTTGTCAGATAAAGCCTATTTAGTGGACATATGCACACACTTTTCTGAAAGAAGACATTTAACACCAAAAATCATGTTAATTCCTCAATCTATATAAAAACTAGCTGAAGAACTTTAATTCATCTTGGATGTGTAATGCTTTGTGGTTTCCTTAACCCATACATGAGAATTTTTCTTTGTCCCATCTGGTAGCTGGCACAAATCTGCTTAGATAAACATTCTCTACACCCAGCACTCAATATTAACTTCAGTGCTTAGGGAGCATAACTTTTATATATGACTGATTTTTCTGCTACAACTTACAGAACATTTTGGCATAGGGCACATGGGGTCACTGAATGGTTTGATGAGTATGAAAGTGATGTGAATCATATGTTCTGGCCTTTGCAGTCACCAGATCTCAACCCAAATGAACACCTCTTGACCATGAGGGAATATCTTTTAGAAGAGCAGTGTTCATTCCTAGAATAATCTGCAACAAACCTGACTCATCCAGAATTGCTATACAGATGGAATTGTAAATGAATATTCATCATTATTTCAATAAAACTAATTTAAATTCCTCCAATAAAACTGGTTTTGGTAATACTCAGTACTACTATCTCTGTACCGCCACACTGGCAGGGCCAGGTCATCCTTAGTCAATAGTAACAAGCTAGTGCTGACTATATCAGGAAAACTTTGAAATGCTATATTTATTCAAACCATGTCCTATTACTTTAAAGTGGGTATGTGTTTCTCAGGCTAGCAACAGAACTGAGACGGTGGTTAAACCATAGCCAGTGAGAAATATCATTAGCAACCTGTTTTACTGAGGAAACAGTAGTCAGCAGCACTGATCAAAGTCAAATTGAATACTTTAAAGAAATTGTGCAGTAAAGTTTGAAAAAAAAAACACATCATAATTTAAATGAGCTTTCTCAGCTGATGTCATTCATCTTCCTCCAATAGGAAGCTGTTCTTACAATAGCTCCAGGCATCCTACAGTACAGTCTGTTTTCAGCGCGTCTGTGGCAATATGCAGTTTGCAGTTTTGTGCTCCACCACACATACAGTAGACCTGCTCCATCAGCCATCATAAAAAAACTATCACAGAAAAACACTTGGCCATATCCAAGCCTGCTGCAGTATACTTGATACTTGAAAAAGTTGTGGTTATCTAAAATATTATCTTTAAAGGGAATAGACATTCATGTCATTTTTGGGGAAAAAAGGGAGTTTTCTTCAGCTATTACAAACAAGTGTGTTTCCCATTTCCACCTCTGAAGAACAGTCATTTTAAAAATGACCATCTCAGAAACGTTGCAGGTGGGAAGCCAGAAAACATAAAAATGTCCTTCCTTCTACGGGTAGTGTCGAAATACAGTGCACTGCACTGGATGAAATTGCTTACTCTGCTCTCGCAGAATGAAATTCCATGCTTCTTTTTATCACCCTCTAACCCTAGTTCATATGGAGTGATGGCAGCTGATTTTAACATGTTAATTTGAATAAGCGCTCCTTTAGTCATCCCCTTCACACACACTTACAGTGTTATTTCATTGTGAAATTCTGTAAGCTAACTTTTTGTGCATGCATTACCTCTTAAACTCAGCACTACAGTATAGTTGCTGCCGTATCAATTAATATTCCAGAACAGCAGTGGACATTCCCTAAAATTCCCTAGAGTTTTTTCACATGAAGGCAGAAAAAGAAATTAACTGACAACTATGTAACTGCAGGCATTGTCGTGGCAACAGAGCATGTGTCCAGCTACAAGTAAAAGACATGTAAGTGGTTGCATGTCAGACAAGGCAGGCAAGATGTTCGTTTCTGTTGTGCGTGAATGTTTGTTACTTTTGAAAGAGTTTGGAAAGGATTATGATCAAGGCATTGTTTAAGGTCTCCATTTAAAAGAGCTACATAGTGATATAACTGCATATAAGGAGAGATACATCTATTTTAATGAGACACACACCTCACTCATGACTTGTGTGTATGTTTGTGTAAATATTTATGTGTGTTCATGAGTGTCTCATGTAATTTTGCCCAACCTTGCCAAAAGCAACTACTGCACTTGTGCTGGTCTCTGCCTTTATTGTTTTTGTTTGTTTTTTGGGAGTAGTGTGTTGCTGATAATAAGCTAATGAAAAGCTATTTTGGCTTGTACACATTGTAAACAACAGACAACAAAACTGTAAAGGTTACGCACTTTAAACAGAGCTGAATAAAAATATAAAACTATTCTCCAAATCAACAAGAAATGCAAAATCTAAAGAAAAATGTCAACTCTGCGTCAACTCTGGATAGAGCCTTTACATGACAAAGACCATACCTGCAGTTTACAAAGGTCACCATAAACATACTCCTGGAAACAAGCTTGTTTTATACTGTTTTTCTAACCAAATTACCCTGTTTGAGTACTACGGTACACATACAGTACACATGAACATGATGAAACTGGAGAGTAGTGAGCCTTGAGAAAAGCCCTGCATTACTGATGACAAAACATTTACTGGCATGTAGAGAAGACTGTCTCGTGCTTAACTCCATTATAGTAAATCTATATATACAGTATACTACTCACACAGATGCACATTGTCTACGCTTGGTACCTTAACATCATCATACAGGAATGCAGTATCGGGATATTATCAGTACATTAAAATGCACTATCAAACATTTAACATACAATACGTTGCCTGAATGTCAAAAATGTATTAAGGCTAAATGAGCAAATCATCTGATGATAAATAAGCTCACTGACCTATGAAGATTAAACATACTGTACTACATTGCTGAAGAACTGAGATTAAACGAGATCAGAAAAATCAGAATACACCTATAAAATTGACTATAATGGAACCATTTTTTAAATCTGGCATATGTCAAAACTAGTAGTACATGTGATGTAATGCAACTAATTTGATAATTCAAACGGTCATTAGCATACATTTGAGCTAATAAACAGACCATAAGATGTGTGTGCATTTAAATTACAGAGACTTTGTGTCCCACACCCCCAGACCAAACTGTACCTCATCACTTTCACTCCCAATAAAGTCATCTTCAAGTTGGGCCTCATATCGCCTCCCGCTTTTGCTCTGAACCTGGTTATCTCCCATTTCCATCTTCTCCTGGTCACCTTGGCCTTGCCCTCGTTTGGGTGAATGAGGCTGGGATGAAAAAGTGAACACCTCCTCTCGCAGAGTGAGCTGGGGCTCAGACCCCTCATTACTCTCCCAGCTGCTCCAGACCTGCAGGTCAGAAGACAAACCTGGCCGGATCGAGCAGGAGAAGGACTCTGCTGATGTGGGAGCTGCACTGGAACTTTTCTTTGCAGGACTAAAGCTATGATCGTCTATAATAAAAGATTATAGAACAAACATATAGAAATGACAGTTTGAACTTACGCATGTGTAAATTCTCTCATTAAAACTGGCTGCACATCAGTGTTATAAAATAATAGCGTTTCGGGGTTTGAGTTTACAAATTCTATAATTCATGAATAGCTCTCTCAGAATACACATGGAGGAGTTAGCCACAAAGACTGAGTAAAGAATAATTGGAGGAGTTTAATTACAGTGAGTAATAAATCTTTTTTTTTTTATGTTTTCAACATGTGGGTGATGTCATTATAACTCCATTTCATTATAAGCACATAAAATTCATGATAACACTATGTGAGATTGTAATGAATTTCAGCACTTGCCAAAAGTGAAAATCAATTTCTCCTGCACTGACATTTTTGTAGGTTCTGTTAATAGCCCTGCTATGCTAATACCTTAATGAGAATATAACAATATAAACAACATAATCAGTCATAACAATAGTCCACTGCTCACTGTCACTCATGAAATGACGGCTCTGTCCGAATACACATAACAATCTAACTAATACACCTAAGCAAATATGGCTTCTTTCCTGCTTTAGTGTTTTGGTTTACAGTTTTTGTTAAAGTAAAAACATACAGCAGCATTGCAATATCAACGCTATCTTCCTGAATACATCCAAAGGGTTAAACGCATTTTTTTAAAAGCTTAAATGAAAATTGCATCCGTTCATGTATGCACTCACGAAACACTGAATCCTCAAACTCCATGATATGTCTAAGATCATAGTAAGAGGCACCTCTATCAGAATGAGTGAAGCACATTTGAACCTCTCAACAGTATAATGATTTTCTCTAACTGCCCGCTGTGTGGCCAACTCTGGGCCCAGGAGATGTCCCTCTGACTTTTATTTAATAGGCCACATTACCATTAATGAACTAACTTCTTTCCATGTGTGGGCAGGGACACAGCAGAGGAGCTTACTACATCCATAAATGAGTAGCCAAAGTGCTAAAGTTGGCAACTGGACTTGCTTGAGGTTCTTGAAGACGTTTCACCTTTTATTGGAGAAGCTTCTGAGAATCTCCACAGACAGCCAAAAATTAGCATTCAGAGCATGTGTATTCATTTTGTGAGCACAGTGTAGGTCTATGTATGGTAGTGGTGGTGAAGAGGGTCGAAGCAGGGGCACTTTGACAAAAATGCTGCAGATAGACTTGATGCAGGTTATGCAAAATTAAAAAGGGGAACAAATGTAATAGCATATTCAGTATAGAATGAGGCTCATTAAAATTCATGCAATATTTTGAAGTGATCTAATTTATAAATTAAGAGTCAGAATAGATATTTTTCTCAAGTATAAAAGAGCTACTTGGTAAAATGAGACCATGCAAAGAAGACATCAATATGCATATTACTCTCTTTTGTCTTGCTCTTTTGTCTTGTGTTCCTATTGCAAGCTGTTTTGTTTTTTTTACACATTTCTAACCATTATTCAGTCTGAGAGTGTACATGCCTTCCTGCTGCTGCCTCCCTCTGTGCTGAACTCTCTCAATTTGCAGCAGATGTGTGTCTTACCTGCTGTTAGGTGCTTTATCTTTTCTGTTAGGGTCAGCGGCTGCTGCCTGCTCTCTTGCCTACTGGACAGAGGGGTGCTCTTCTCTTTGGTTTTATTACTCTTTTTGTGGTCACCAGGAGCAGCATCTGAATGGGATTTTAACCAGAATTATACACTTTAACATACTGTACTAAACCTTGCCAACCTTCTATTCCAGCACACACACAATACTGTAATACGAGGTGCACACAGCTTACCTGTTACTGCACTGAGGACCCGTAACCTCTTTGATGACTGCTTGTCAAACAGTGTGTCTTTTGGGGGATGGGGCTGTAAACTGCCAGGTGTTCCTACATACAGTATTTTCAACATTAGAAAAGCTTTCTAAAGCAAAATAGTCACACAATAATGTTATTAAAGCTTGCCAGAAGCATATCTGTGAACTGTTTATGCACCGTGAAAATTCCCATTATTGATGGCATTTCAGTAACTGAGTTTCTTACATCCATTCAGTGCTGAGAGAATATATCAAGCTACATTATGTTCAGCTGAATTAAGGAATTTTAATAATCCATTTTTACATTCATTCATGCTAAAAGCACAGTGTATTACAAACTGTAAAAGCTGTTATTAATTGGATTGCACTCTGTAAGAGCTGGACTCTTATTTGGCTGGTTTGTTAGCCAGTATGTAATGCTTTTACCAATGTACAGTACTTAAAAGAATACGCATGTGCACTCTTAAGGCCAAGAAGAGCTGTAATTACTCACACAGGTCAGTATCATACCCCCTTTTCCAAATAGTTGTATGCGCCTCATATACTGCATGTCTCCCTGGCACCTCCAATTTTGGAATTATTTGCCTTCACTGACTGTTTACTTATTACTGACTCTATTTTTGGACAAAGACTGACTTTTACTATAACTTAACTTTCTTCTCCTGTTAGGTACTTCCATGTTAGCTGCGATTTACCTGGGTCAAGAGCAAGCAGCAACTACCATATATTGCCTGTATAGCCAGAAGAGAGTGTGCATGGCAAACCCATGCAGGACCAAACAACAATGGGAACTCAGATATGTGCAGTATATTTGCTGTGTAAGTAAATATACAAAGAAACCAAATAATGAAGAATGAACCGAGTGAAAAAAATGATTTAGTGATACAACAGAAGGATGAACAGGTCGTGTTTAGGTGTAGAAACCATGCACACTAGACAAAACATATTAGGGATTAATGCCAAATTTACCCCTTTCAAAAGCGTGCAATTGTTCTCCATGTGATAAATTCTCGCTTAGGTTACCAACGCTCTGACTTTCTGCATAAACCTTCTGGTTCATTCTAATGGATGAGGACCCCTGCACAGCAGAGCAAAAGAAGAAAAACTTGCTCAAAGACAACATATGATGTTCCAAATCATTCAAAGGGATTTATACAGTATATAAGTTATTATAGGATTTATGTGATTACCATATTGGAGATGAAGAGTGCACTTCTATCCATTCCATCTGAGGCTGCACTGCCTTTTCTTCCAGCCTGAGGAGCTAGTCCTGAAGCCCTGGAGCCTGAGGCTGAGTGTAAAACACCCAGGGGCCTGGTTTGTCGATAACCGGTTAATCTGGCAGAGGCAGACCGATCAGGAACTGCAAAGAAACTCCCATTATTAATTGACCGTTATTGATCTCTGTTGTTTTGGATATGATTTTCTTTTAGGAATGTTTTTGCATCTTGTGCTGATACATATTGTGAATAATAAACTCAGTGTATGCTTGATTTATGGTACAACATCATTAATCCCTGAACTTGGGAAACCTTAGGGAAAGTAGGGCTGCAATTTTAAAGCTATTTCCTTAATCTACTGTCAGTCATACTAATGATCAAGTAGCCACTGCAGCTACAAAAGGTTCTGCTTCAGATTTACAAAAGTCACATAGTTCACACAGATGAAAAATGCATGATGAAGCGTGCATACATGATGCAGTGTGAGGGGATCAGGCCGGCATTTTTTGCTCAGTGAGAGACTGCTGTCACACTAGATGCAAAGCCATTTCAAAGTCACTTTTTTACTGTGAATAGAAACTTTTTTTTAAAGAGATTCCTTTTTAATGCAATATGTACTCAAGTATGTTTTTGAGATGTTACACTATGTTGAAAACATAACCAGTCAGAGAGAAAACTTGCTGTGCTGTGTTTATCTCAAGTACAGCTGCCAAAAAGATGAGCTGAACAACATGCAGTACAAGTGCTCGTGTCAGCTCAGTAATAACATTTTACACACAAATCTGTAAACTGCAGTACTACTTTGAATTAGACCCTATTGATCACGTCATATATTCTACACACAAAGAAAATAAATGGATGATAACAAATTAGACTTTACTGCTGAGCTGACTGAGTTGATGTTTTTCTTTAATCTATCAATCTGTTCCATATCATCATGTGAAAATAATGGGCTGCAATGCGAATCATGATGTCAGCCATGACCTGACCCTGCTGTATCTGTGCCAGGGCTCGTTAGGACCACATCCACTGATGTTAACAGCAAAACACACTTTCTGTCTAATCCTCATCAGAGCAGAGAACAGACACTTCCAGTCCTCAGTACTCACAGTATTGACAAGATTTAAATCTGAAATAGCGAATACAAGAATGTGGTAACAATAATAATAAAATTAAATACATGATAGCTAGTTGATAGGGGTGTGACAACACATTTAGCTCACGAGATGAGATGATACACCACAGAAGACAATATTTTAATAAAATTTTTAAGAAATCTTCGATGATGAAATATATGACTGGAAAAATAGTCTTTTGTTTGATTGAAAGTCCGAAAATGCAAAAGAAAGCAGGTCCATTTTGAAATATTTTAACTAATCATCGTGTAACTTCAGTTCTGCTTTTGGATTATGAATTATCATGTGCAGTAAAAGACAACAATATGCAAGCACTGTAAAAGGTTTTGCCACAAACTCAACTGACTGGCTTCTCTCCTGTATGATTTCATATGAGTCTCTTCAGACTTTATAACTGTGCGTGGACTATGCATGAGCTTCTAACTTCTAAATGAAGCTGTGTGTGACCTTCTAACTGAACTCCTTTCTACATATTGAACATAAAAAGTTACGGGGGCATCTTCTATGCTTATTTCAGCACCACACTCCGTCATGCTGGCTGCTGCTCTGGTTCTGTTATGTACTGATATTGCAAGACATCTTTTCACCTTGATGATAAATATCACTTTAATAATCGCTTTTTGATATCATGAGATCTCATCACACCCCTACTAGTTGATAAACAAACAAACAAACAAAAAGATAAAGATTCTGACCTATGAAAATTCAGTGACCTTGAGAAACACAGAATGTCCTTGGTGCATGAATGAGATAATTGGGGCTTGTTTGTTGCTCCATGACAAAACCTGTAGTAGCTTACTTTTAACAGTTTCTGACAGATTGGGTACTGAAGCACCAATATTCACCAAGCAGCCTTGTTAAAGTCAAATTAGATGCCTACTTTAATAGCAATCTTTTTAATTATGATTAGGAATGTTATGATAATAATGCAGATGCTAATTATGAAAAGCTATTTCTTGAGTGTGGTTCCTGCTCTCTTCTATGGGCATTACTGGTTGGCTCAACATGACTTAGACAGCTGTCAGAACAAATAAATAAGCACTGATAAAAAAGGCCACAGAGGCGGCGGAACTGGATTAGTGGTGCATGCCTTCTTATATGAGTAGATAATTGCAGCTTTCTGAGTACAGGTGAGGTGCAAATGAACATAAAAATGAAGATCACAGGAATTTCATATGAGGAAAACAAATCGATTATCATCACAGACTCTTCGTAGAAAACAATTTCTCTCCGTGCAACCACCTCTGAACCATGATGCTTCTCTGTATTCTTCTATGTATATGAGCTGCTTTGTGGGTAGATTGTGGTTGGTACTTGTATTCAAAACATATAAATTCACACTTTCAGTATTCCTGTCATAAGAACAACAATTCGCGTGATTCATTAGGGAAACATACACTAAATGACCAAAGCTATCTCAACACCTAAACAAAGAATGTGGACTCCTGAATAATACACTTGTATGTATTTCTCAAACATTGAATTTCAAATCCATGTGTATTAATCTGTTGCTATAACAGCCTCTAGTCATGTGGGAAGGCTTTCCAGGAGATTTTGGAACCTTGCTGCAGGCATTTGCTCCCATTCGGCCACAAGCGCATTAGTGAGCTGGTCACTAGTGTTGGATGTTAAGGCCTGGCTTAATTCCAAGTAATCCAGAATGTGTTGGGGTTGAGGTCAGGGTTTCACACCATAGTTGGAAAGTAATTTCTTTACAGACCTTGGTTCGTGGAAGAGGGATTTGTCATTTTTAAAACTAGAAAGGGCCTTCCCCAAACAGTAATTATAACGCTGGAAGCACACTATTATCTAAAATTTCATTATATTCTGCAGAAATAAGATTTTTCCCTCGCTGGAAATAAGGGGCCTAGTCCAAACCATAAAAACAGTCCCAAAAGAATGAACAACAGGGTTCCACTTTTTCCTCATATAATGCAAGTTGTTTACTTTGTTACCTAAAGTAAAATGTTTCTGTGTAACATGAAATGTATTACACTTGTTTTTCCATTTTTGTTTAATCAATTCAGAATCCTATGATTTTATCTTACCTACCACAGTCAGAGTTCACCAGATTATTCCTCGTATCCGCCTTCCGCAAATTTTCCATGTTCACCATCACTATTATGTGGTTTACATCTGGAGGGAATTGGCAGCTGCGCGGGATCAAGTCCATAAGACCAGCTCCACTGAAAAACATATCTAGATTTTAATGAGAAAAATCTCACATTAATCTCAATCATAGAATAAACCAAAAACAAATTATCATCACATCACATAACAATGGTAACACTTTGATCGGCTGACAAATACGAAATGACAAGCCATCTCTACTGGCAGGTAGTGTAGGTGTGCACTGAGCAACCAGCACTGACTGTATCTGTTGGCACTGCTGAGCTCTATCTGAATTAAACAAAAACCACCACTGAGCTTTCAGCCAGCTACCACAGAAAACAGCCATCTGCCTGTCTCTCTCACTCTCTGCACACTTTACTGTACACACAATTTAATATGAACTCACAAGACTCACAACAAACCTATTCAAAGTGAAGACCGCAGTGCTTAGCTGTTACATCTCTTCACTGGTTACTCATGGAGGGGACTTTAAGATAAGTTGATAAAACATGATTTGCTTAAGGTGTGACCATGTGCATTACCGTCATCTGACATTCCTGTAGGCTCAGTTTTCATGGTGAAGATTCTGCGGACTTTACAGGTAGCAAACAAAGTGATGCCATCCAGTGTCAAAAATCCCTTGAACAGTTCAGCAGTGAATGATACAAGATCGATGCACAAAGTGGACCACTGAGACAATAAAAACAATACAATTTTGTAGTTAGAAGGCTCCTTTAGAGACAAAGCTCAGAAACTACTATGAAATATGAACACTAGTGATAACACACACATTGGTGAAAACATAAAATACTAAAACAACAGGTCAAACATGAGTTAGATACTCACAATATTGCGTTTCAATTCCACAAAAGGTATCTTTGCATGCAGAAGTGTGGCAGACAGCTCTTTATGCACTGTTGATAAGTGAAGTCTTCTTTTCAGGTGCTCTGAATCAGTTATTCTGTTAATAACAGACATCAGAACAGAACATAAATTATCACCAGCATCAGTGGTGTCACTAAGCAGTCCTGACCAGAGAAAGCCATGAGCTTCACTGGTCTCAAAGGTAAGCTCTTAGAGGTGTTTAAGTATTTAATCTAGTGCTGTGAAATCAGCTGTCATGACACAATCCAATGGGAAAAAAATTGTGGCAATCATATTTCCCAAGATCCTTAAAATGATAATGTCAGAAACTTTATCCTAAGAAACTATTTAAACTTCAACAGCCTGGTTAGATTTTCTACTTTATATGGCTGCAATACTTAAAATCTAAACAGGAGTAACAGTATTGTATACCACAGCCTGTTCCTGGAATAAAGTGAATTTGCCAAGTAAACTCACTGGGTTCTGAGTACAATAAACACTTCATATACACTTTAAATATCAAATTAATAACCCTGGCAAACCACAGAATGACATTTTTCTGTCACTGACTAAATACATGGGTAGCATTAAAAGCTGACTACATGGTATATATTTTGTTTATTTATGTATATATAATCGCCCGATTGCCGGCCGGGATTGGCTCCGGCCCCACCCGTGACCCCGTTCAGGGGACTAAGCGGTAGAAAATGAATGAATGAATGAATGAATGTATATATAATCTTGTAGAATTTAATTGTGGATGGCAAGAAAAAAAGCATTATCTACAGCAAATTAACAACATCTTAAAAATAAGTGGTTATTACATAACAGTCATTGCTGCAATGAGACACTCCAGTTGGCTCAAGAGGTTTCCTACTAGATGTACACAACCTGTCTTCTACAAATTTTTTCAGTGGTCTGTAAGGAATCCACCATGATTCATCACTTTTTTTCTGTATATTACAATATTTAATATTCTCTTGTGTAAGAAAATGCTAATTTACTCCATTAAAGATATGATCTTGTAAGTCCCCATTTTATTAGCGATAAAGTTAAAAATTTATTGAGAGCCACAGCAGAGCACACTTCCACAAATGTTTCTCAAGATGAGCTGCCATCTTTAAGATATATAAAAAGCATCTGAAAAGACCTGACCCCTGTACTTACACAAGTTCAAGAGAAAAGTCTTTGCACTGAGGAATATTCACTTGAAGAACCAGAAATCTTTGGAGAAGTCCAACTAAGAAAAAGTAAAATGAATTACTATTAGCAAATGGACATAAGCAAAAGAAACTTTACAAATGGGTGTAAGTACAGCATGTTCATAACTTACGAGACATTTTCCCATTCTCTGGCATTTGCATCTTGACTGTCTGGCTGCTTCCCTCCAGGCAATAAACAAATCCTTTGACTTCTTTATTATACTCCTAAGGTCAGAAATGATACAAAACAGGCCTTGTGAAGTATGACCAGTGCTGTGTGCCTGTAGTGTGACTGCTCTTGATGAGGTCTGAGTTGGAAAGTCAAACTATATTATAACTTGAAAAAGTCCACTGTCTGCAAGAGCTGTAGAAAGTGTAGAGTTAGCAGTATTCCTTAGTACAGTATCTACAACAAAGTTAGCACAGAAAAGTAATATTTGCTGTCAACCCTCTCTGGGAATAAAATTGATTTTGACATTTCACAACTAAGCTTTCCTAGAGTTTGTATACAAGCATCCCAAAATGTAAACATCTGATGGCAGGCTGTGATTATGAACTGGTGAGCACCTCTATAACATAGCCTAAAGTTACTATATAGACTTGCTTTAAAGTTGCCTTGGTAAAATAATAATTCAGCTCTATGGTAATCATTCTGACCTTATAAAGTGTATGACATTGACTTGTGTATATTACTTTACATTTGTTACTGTCAATCCAGACCCTGTAGGCTACACACTGGCTTATTTTATTTGTATTTATTTAACCTTTATTTTACCAGGAAGTTCCACTGAAATCAAGATCTCTTTTTCAAGGGAGACCTGGCCAAGATGGCAGCCATATAAATTTACATCATATTAAAATTCAGCACATACAACACAATATACAAAAACTCCATTCAGAAGATAAAAACAATGAACTCTCAAGAAAAACATGTCTCCTTTACCACATTCTTTATGATATCCTTAAATTCTAAAATAGATATGAACGTGTCTAATTTTAGATATTTCTGCGAGGTTAGCTGAATTGGCCAGCTAGCGCTCTAAAAACTCACCTTATGAATGGCCGAAGGGCCCCCGCAAAGTTTCCATTTTGCTACAGGGTCTTTTCCCTGTCCACTGAAGATCTCAACCACAGCTCCGCCCTGCGAGAAACAATTTATTCTCACTTAAAATGTGAGTAACGTGCTATTTACATCACGCAGGGTTTTAGGCCTAACGCTACCTACTAAGTTGGGCTCAAAGAAACTTACCTGATAATTATTCTTGAACATTTTACGTCAGGTAACGGTCGAATAAATATTTGACCTGTGTGTTTAACCTACATACATAAATATTCTGGCTGTTACATTGCCCCAAAGCGCTTCAAGCGTTTGAGTGAAAGGCAAAGTAAGCTGCTTTATCTTTTAGAACAAGTAAATAAAATGGAAGCTAATGTATGAGTTGTGTAACACCAGCCAGCTAAGATATGTCTCCATGGTTACTTGACGCTTTGGCAACCCAGCGATGAAACCGCTGCCTGAACCAGAACGCTGCGGTAAACGGACGACAAAATGCCTGGGAAAGTAGAATTTTCTCACTGAAGTTGCACTGTGATATGTATGTCCGTCGTAGCCCAGTCCATGACAAAAAGTCGAATTACTGTATAGTGTGCTGTGTTAAATGAAACATAAGGTAGGCAGGTAACTATCTGGTCACGTGACCCAGCCTCTCTAGGTGGTAGTCCATTGAGACTTTCTGTAGCTCTAATTTAAACTGATAACACCGCAACCTCCTTTGGACGATTTATTGCCATACATCAGTAGCCTATTGAAAGTAGTGTGGGGCTTTGTTCTACTTTGGCTTGTCTGGGTTTTTGCTGATGCATTTATTTTATTTTATTTTCAAGATTCAAATTTTGCTGTCATTTGCACAAAAATAGTTCGACTACAGTCCAGGGGTGGCCAGTTCCAGTCGTCGAGGGCCGCTGTCCTGCTTGTTTTCCAACTACCGGTATCCCTGCCTGACCTGCTGCTGATTACCTGGCTCAGGTGTGTTCAGCCAGTCAGAAGATGGAAGATACCAATTCACTTTATCTTTCCTCACTCCACTTTCATCTAAGATGGTATCTCCCAGCTTCTGACTGGCTGAACACACCTGAGCCAGGTTATCAGCAGCAGGTCAGGCAAGGCTAGTTGGAAAACAAGCAGGACAGCGGCCCTCGAGGACTGGAATTGGCCACCCCTGGATTACACTATGCACTGAACTTCTTATGTTGCTGTTTCTTTGTAGTGCTGTTAAATAAAAAGGGGAATTAAAATACAACAAATATTTGATGGACAAATAATGTGTATTTGTAGCAGTTATATAAAAACGGGTATATACTAAAATAAAATAAAGATGTAAATTAACGCAATTCTGAAATTCTATTTTCCTGCACCGTAATGTTATGAGGAACACAGTACTGAAGTTCATTTTGGAGAGGTCCTGGTGCAATGGGACAATAATGGTTACCCAAAGTGCTCAAAATAAGTCAGTACAACATTATGAAATAAATATTCATATGATTAAATGCAGACAAACAATATTATATGACTATGAAATTTAGATCTTTGTGAAATGCTATTTCATCATTCTTTTTTTTCACAGCAACAGAGTTATTGCAGGTAATTTTTATATAACACCAATTCCAAAGTCTGATTTTATTTCATAATTCATTTGTTCCCATGGCAATCTTACTTAATTATAAAGTCTCTATTCGGTGGCATGATGTCGCAGTGGGTAGCGCTATCGCCTTAGAGCAAGAACATTCCGGGTTCAAACCTTAGCTGACTCAGGGCCTTTCTGTGTGAAATTCGTATGTTCTGCCTGTGTGGGTTATCTCCTCCCACAGTCCAGGTTAGGCTTGGCTCCATGCAGCCCACCAACCTCGTTAGTATAAGTAGAATAAATAATGGATGGATGGAGGAAGTCTTTATTTGTTTTTCAAGACAGACAGTGTTAAGAATTACTGTAGTGACTGGCTGTTCCTTTGGTCTAAATAAGCAGACAGTAGAAAGTGCTCACTTTTCAGAATTTTGATAACAAATGTTTTCTTTCTCATTATTTGAGGCCAGTGATGAGAAATCAAGAACAATATATATCAAACAATAACTACAGAGTTTGTAGAGTGTGGGTACTTGTTAGAGGAACTTAAAAAATATAATAGGCTACCTAGAAATGTTACTAAACAATAGAGTTAAAAATAGATTGGCATTAAAGTTGTATCTTCTCTTGAAATGCAAAAATTCATTATTGTGTCATTGTCACTTGCTTTGTTTACCCTGGCAGCAAGGCTATTATGAGATCAAAACAATGTCTTTTTAATTAGCTACTGAGGGAGTCTACGTCCGGAAGTACAATTGTATGGCTTACCGCACAAGGTGGTATGAGTTATTTATGGATATAAAACAGAAGACATCTCAAAAAATAAATCAGTGCAGTCACACTTATGACTATAATGAATATAATTGTTCTAGAATAAACACCAATATAAAATATCACTGTCTCATATGCATTGCAGTGTCATCACTCATGAATAATGATTATAGACTACTATATTTTTAGATATAGTAGCAAAATCTAAACATTTCTGTCCTCAAAGCATTGTCATAATAAATTGACTGTATTTTATATAGCGCTTTCTCACAGTGTGTTGCACTGGCCAAAGCAATTTACAGAAGATCATACACCATTCACCCACCGATGACGACAGGCTGCCATGCACCGGCGCTAGTCAAGCCACCGGGAGCAATTCGGAGTTCAGTGTCTTGCTCAGGGACACTTAGGCATGCGGGGAGACCAGGAGTCGAACCACCAACTTGCTGGTCAGGAGACAACTGCCCTAACTCATGAGCCACAGCCACCCCAATGGTTTTGCATTATGCTTAAAGAGTGCATATTCCTAAATGGGGAGAACAATAGGAATACCATATATTATACCATATCTTCCTATATTCCTATACCGAGCTGCTTTCCTGAGCTAGTCATCATGTCTAATCTTTGCTTGTTGTGTCATCTTAAGGACATATAGAGACAATAAATGTAAGTGTTGCTGGATTCCAGACAGGCAAAGCAGGCTACGGCTCTGGGGCCCTTGAAGGCCAATGGCCCTGACATTCCCAAGGTTACTGTATATCAGCTGTTCTCATTTTTAGTTTTTGAATGTGTGTTTGCAAAAGGATCCCACATTATTATACAGTATGATTCTCTGGTCCTATCTGTTCCTATCTTGCTTTAAAACCATAATTATATGATTTTGCATTATGCTTAAAGAGTGCATATTCCTAAATAAAGTTGTGAAAATTGCCATGAAATAAAGAACATACAGAAAACCCAGGGCTAGGTGATTTTAAATGGGTACAGGGATAAAAGATGGGTTTCTCCTTCTTTGAAGTTACCATCTGTGCTGTGAGCAGTGTACCTCATGGGAAATAGGAGGTAACAGGATACGTTCAGATACTGCTCGGAGCTTATGGCAAATGTATTTTCTATATCACTCTTCCCAAATGGTGTCCAGCACACTAACTGTAATTCATCTTATATATTTGGACAATGTGCATTTTGAGTTCTTTTGGGCTTTTTCTTAAACAAATACACATTTCCAGATTTGTAAACGAGGGAGCTGCTTTGTAACTTCTTACCTTATAAAGAGCCACGCTATCTGGGTCTGTCATCATGCCTGTCATTGTCACATGTGGAACTGTACCTCTGTAAAATGAATGTACTTATTTGAATGTAACTCTATTTATAGGCCTCTACTACTCAGCTTTATTTTTATAGTTGAAATGGAAATAAAGCTTACCTTGAACTTAACAGTCTCATCTGTCAGGCTCGCTTATTATTTTTCCCCTTTAAATGAATAAATACCTTCAGATATTTATGCAGATTATTCATTGTATGGTGTATGGTGTAAAGACCACAATGTTTTTGTATGTCACATTGCTGATTGAGGTTTTGTTGATAACCTGCTCCAGGCGTGGCTCTGGTAACCAGGAAGAGTGTATGTGTATTACTGCTTTATTATGAAAATGAATGCAGAATTGTGTAAGATAGAAATAGCATCAATAAAGCACGGCACAGTGATAGGTTTATAATTGACTTTTTTCTCTCCAGGAATGGCTTGACATTGATTGGGACAGACAGCATCATTAAAATAAAGCCTGGGATGCAGTGAACACTGACGAAGTCGGTATGGAGAAATCAGTTAATAAATCAGTGCTTTGTTAGCATACTTAATTATGACTAATTATTCACTCGTTGTTTTGAAAGGAATCTGTCTATTTGCATGAGTCAAAACACATCAATTAGTGAAGACAATGTTAGTTTTGAGAATGGCATAAAACTTTTTATTATTGCTGTAATGAGCACATTCATGATGCTGATAGTCCCAAAACATTTGTTTTTTAATGAAACTATGAATTCATTGTGGCAAATTAACAGAACTGCATTTTAGATTTTAGATTTCCTAGCTTGTCAGAAATGTAATGGTCTTTGCTGCAGTGTGTGTAACTAGAGACTAAGTGCTTTACTTTGAGGATTTTATGTCGTATTGTCTACCCTCGTATGCCATCATCATTAAAATGACTGCATAACTAAACCACAGTTAGTAACTGGAAACACTTTCACAAGTGACCCACTTAAATAAAATTAAAAACAGGAGCGTGTACTGTTCAAGTCACCTTAACAGTGTCTGGACACACTAAATGCACAACCTTGGTTGTACAATTCTGTAACATCTATTAATAGAGGCTTGCCATGACGTAGGTTCACAAAGACAAACTAATCAAAGTGAGAAGTCAGTAATCAGGGACATTAGCATCCGCTTCCTTCTCACTTCCTGTTCTCACTAGTGACAAGTGGGATAAACCTTGAACTCTTTTTATTCTGCACAAACCCATTATTCCATCCGTAGACAAAAAATAACCGGATAAAATAAAACAACATTTCTAATGTGTGGTGTCTGCCCATATTCCCCAACTAGTCCTTTCCAAATAACTATAGAGACTCACATGAGCAGTTTGTTGTCTAAGTTTAACACTTCCTCTGTCTTAGCTAATTCCTCTCTGAAAATGTGTTGCTTGCGTCTACACAGCATTCAGGGAAAACAAACTACATGTGTCAGATTAGATCGTTAGTAATTTAACACTGCACTGGGAGCTCGAGTGAAGGGGCACAGCCTCTGGCCTAATAAACTGCATCACCTTGAAGGCCAATTTTTGTTTTATCTCTGAAGACATATTTAGGTCACTCTGTTTGTTGTTATATTCTTTATGGAATCGCATGTTGCTAGTCTGCTCTGATTGCCAGTAGTTCTCTGTGACTGTGCCCATTTTGTTGTGAAAGTGACAATGACTCAGTACAAACAGAATTAAAAGCATGTCCTGCGAGCTGTATCACTGTATCAGGGTGACCACGTAGTTACAAAGGCTATAGTGTACCTGGCATATGTGCATGCTGTGCAAGCTCGAAGGCCCTGCTTCCTGTGTGACCCTGTGTGCTAGCTTTGCAAAGATTTGTCACGTTGCCATGGTTTACTGGGACACTTGAACAGGTATTACTAATGTCATTAGTAACACCTGCCTTTTCTTACTATAACACATTAAAATGTCTGCTCTTAAGAAGGCCATTTACTCATTGAAGCAGTCAGGAAACAACTGACTTTACCTTTTTGTTTGTTTGTGTTTAATGACTAAAAACATATTTTTAAAGAATTATGAGAACATTCCAAGTAGTTTAAATGGTATTTAAATGAGGATCATTCATTTTTAGACATAAAGATTTTAATTTCTGATGTTCATGTGTAGAAATTGTTGTCTAAATTATGTCTTAAAACTACATAACAAAGTCTTATGAATGGTCTAATTCATTTTAGTGTGACTCATTAATCTGTTAAAACATGTTGTCCTTGGTTTCACTCAGACTATTATATTTAATTCATGTGTTTCAGATT